GTTTGTGAGGTAATATCTTTCTAAGTAAAATGCAGCTATGCTAGCTTTTGCTAGCAAGCTAGCTGCTAGCAGATTTGAGGAAATTTTTATTGAACATTTGATCCTATTTAGAAAATAGATTTCTGTTAAGAAAACATGTATTTCACAATAAAAAATGCATTAAAAGGGCCTAGAGGAGTGTCACAGTTTGACAGTAACAGGGTATTCCAGTTTGACAGTAGGCGATTGGCATACTGGGACACTATCAAAATGTCAATATTCTAAAAAGGTGAGAGTAGTAAGAAAACCATTTACAGTCATTTTGATTTACAACTACAATTATGACTCTAGAGACGTGTCATTACACGGGATACTATGTGCACTATGTCATCACGCACAGCCTTTTATCTGCAAAAAGTCAGTTTGATGGCACATCTCTGGTGGGAAAATGTGCATATTGTTTCATGCAGATTTTAGAATATATAAAAATATGTTGCAAATTGGATGGAAACCTAGCTACTGACAGTCACTCAATTAGCCCATGTCGTCTAACATTTTTTTGGTAAATTTGTCTAGCCAGCTATCTAAACTATATACTATATCTCAGTGTTGTGTTCGAGACCACCTAAAGTGAGACCGATTCAAGACCAAGACCAGAGCAAATCGAGTCCGAGTCAAGACCAAGACCGGAGGGGGGGCGAGACCGAGTTTAGACCGAGACCGGGAGGGGGACAAGGGGTCCGAGACCTAGTCAAGACCGAGACCAGAAAAAAAAATGCTCTACCTTACCTGCCACCCTAGACCCACTTCAATTAGCTTACCACCCCAATAGATCCACAGACGATGCAATCACCATCACTCTGCACACTGCCCTATCCCATCTGGACAAGAGGAATAACTATGTAAGAATGCTGTTCATTGACTATAGCTCAGCATTCAACACCATAGTACCCTCCAAGCTCATCATTAAGCTTGAGGCCCTGGGTCTGAACCCCGCCCTGTGCAACTGGGTCCTGGACTTCCTGACGGGCCACCCCCAGGTGGTGAAGGTAGGAAACAACACCTCCACTTCGCTGATCCTCAACACTGGGGCCCCACAAGGGTGCGTGCTCAGCCCACTCCTGTACTCCCTGTTCACCCATGACTGCATGGCCAAGCACACCTCCAACTCAATCATCAAGTTTGCAGACGACACAACAGTAGTAGGCTTGATTACCAATAATGACGAGACAGCCTACAGGGAGGAGGTGAGGGCTCTGGGAGTGTGGTGCCAGGAAAATAACCTCTCACTCAACGTCATCAAAACAAAGGAGATGATCGTGGACTTCAGTAAACAACAGAGGGTGCACCCCCCTATCCACATCGACGGGACCGCAGTGGAGAAGGTGGAAAGCTTCAAGTTCCTTGGCATACACATCACTGACAAACTGAAATGGACCACCCACACAGACAGTGTGGTGAAGAAGGCACAACAGAGCCTCTTCAACCTCAGGAGGCTAAATAAATTTGGCTTGGCACCTAAAACCCTCACAAACTTTCACAGATGCACAATTGAGAGCATCCTGTCGGGCTGTATCACAGCCTGGTACGGCAACTGCATGCCCGCAGAGAGGGTGGTGCGGTCTGCACAACGCATTACCGGGGGCAAACTACCCGCCCTCCAGGACACCTACACCACCCGATGTCACAGGCAGGCCAAAAAGATCATGAAGGACATCAACCACCCGAGTCACTGCCTGTTCACCCCGCTATCATCCAGAAGGCGAGGTCAGTACAGGTGCATCAAAGCTGGGACCGAGATACTGAAAAACAGCTTCTATCTCAAGGCCATCAGACTGTTAAACAACCATCACTAGCACAGTAGAGGCTGCTGCCTATAGACATAGACTAGAAATCACTGGCCACTTTAAAGAAATGGAACACTAGCCACTTGAATAATGTTTACATATCTTGCATTACTCATCTCATATGTATATATTGTATTCTATACTACTCTACTGTATCTTAGTCCATACCGCTCTAACATCGCATGTCCATATGTGTATATATTCTTAATTCATTCCTTACTTAGATTTGTGTGTATTGGGTATATGTTGTGAAATTGTTAGATATTACTTGTTAGATATTACTGCACTGTCAGAGCTAGAAGCACAAGCATTTCGCTACACCCGCAATAACATCTTCTAAACACATGTATGTGACCAATACAATTTGATTTGATTTGATCAACATGTTTTGACAGTTTACAGTCCAGGGTTACTCCAAGCAGATTAGTCACCTCAACTTGCTCAAGTTCCACATTATTCATTACAAGATTTAGTTTAGGTAAATAATAGTCTCAAGGCAAGCACTGTATGAATCAAGGCTGTGAATGTAGCATAGCCTATATTGTAGTATAGCAGAGGAATAACGCAGGGTTTTGAAGTCCCATTTAGCAGAGGAATGTGTAATTGTATCGCTCTATGCAAAACACTGCAACATATTTTTTTCAAAAATCTGTTAAATACTGTGACAAACTAAACACGTTTTCAAAAGGGATATGATGCTTTCTTCTCTGACTGGCAGTTCATTCCTTCCTAAGAGGATCTATAGATGGAGGAAGTCACACTGTCATAAGATTATAGGTTTACTGAGCTTATACACACATCTTACAGTACTAATACATCCACTTTAATACATCCACTTTAATACACACAAACTAATAGGAACAGGAAAAATTGACATTGCAATTACAAGCAAATCCATATATCAATGGAATTGTTTGTCTGCAATGTTTATTTTCCCATTTCAAAAGACAACATAATTCATGACATGTAAAGCATAGAGAAAATTATTGCCAGATATTGTTTGATTCCATTACTGTTATATAAAAGTGGGTTAAGGTTTATTCTGAGCATATTGATTGTCAAAAACACAAAAACAAACATCTGTCATCCAACAGTTTAAAAAACGCTCTTCAGTGACAGTACATCTTACATATTTACTGTCTTTGTGATAAAAGCACAAAGGAAATTTGAAAATTGTGAATTAATATAAATATAACAATATAACGCCATGCACAATGTTGTGGACGCACAAAAATCTCTATATGAGATACGAATACACGTGTCACCTCATTCAGTATTATCTTTGGATAATATTTCAATACATCCTGAAAAATGTACACAATCCTCTTGTACGAATATGACTCTTATGTTTCTATATGACCTGAACTGTTGGGATGGAGGCTACTTTCTCAAGAAGCTGCCCAGCAGATCTGGGTCAAATAGTACTGTACATACATCAGATACTTTGAAATACTTAACATGCTCTTGATTTAGCTTACTGGTATACAGGGTGGGTGGGGTTGGCAATTTTGGCACAATTCCAATGGTCCCATTATACTAAGTAAGCTAAATTAAGCGCTCTTTGAGTATTTGACATAGATTTACATACATACATACACACATACATACATATATACAGTAGCAGTCAAAAGTTTGGACACACATACTCATCGCAGGGTTTTTCTTTATTTTTACTATTTTCTACATTGTAGAATAATAGTGAAGACATCAAAACTATAAAATAACACATATGGAATCATGTAGTAACCAAAAAAGTGTTAAACAAATCAAAATATATTTAATATTTAGAAGTGGTTTCTTTGCAGCAATTCACACAGTCTCCTCTGAACAGTTGATGTTGAGATGTGTCTGTTACTTGAACTCTGTGAAGCATTTATTTGGGCTGCAATTTCTGAGGCTGGTAACTCTAATGAACTTACCCTCTGCAGCAGAGGTATCTCTGGGTCTTCCATTCCTGTAGCAGTCCTCATGAGAGCCCGTTTCATCATAGCGCTTGATGGTTTTTGTGACTGCACTTGAAGAAACTTTCAAAGTTCTTGAAATCTTCCGTATTGACTGACCTTCATGTCTTACAATAATGATGGACTGTTGTTTCTCTTTGCTTATTTGAGCTATTCTTGCCATAATATTGACTTGGTCTTTTACCAAATAGGGCTATCTTATGTATACCCCCCTAACTTGTCACAACACAGCTGATTGGCTCAAACACATTTAGAAGGAAAGAAATTCCACAAATTAAATGTTAAGAAGTCACACCTGTTAATTGTAATGCATTCCAGGTGACTACGTCATGAAGCTGGTTGAGAGAATGCCAAGAGTGTGCAAAGCTGTCATCATGGCAAAGGGTGGCTATTTAAAGAATCTCAAATATAAAATCTATTTTTATTTGGTTAACACTTTTTGTTTCCATATGTGTTATTTCATAGTTTTGATGTCTTCACTATTATTCTACAATGTAAAAAATAGTAAAAATAAAGAAAAACCCTTGAATGAGTATGTGTGTCTAAACATTTGACCGGTAGTGTATATGAGACACAGTTCTGCTGCACAGTAATGTGATTGTGAGTAGCATCAGTAACATAGCCCAGGTGTCTGTCTGTTTAAAATAATTAATAATAATTAGTCATTTAGCAGACGCTCTTATCCAGAGCGACTTACAGGAGCAATTAGGGTTAAGTGCCTTGCTCAAGGGCACATCGACAGATTTTTCACCTTGTTTCTACTTGTATGGCACGACAACGATAAAGTAGTTGGCTAACAGACCAGCAAACTGGCAGTAACAACCTTCTCAATACTCTTTATTCACCTGACGAAATACCAGGACCATTGATGCATTCTTAAATATACAGGTTGGGTTATGAAGTGAAATTTTAAGCTAAAAAATAATGAAATCTATGAGATAAGCATATCAAGGATATATATGAATATGTATTCAGACAAAGGCACTGATTTGGGGATGACCCTTTCTTGTGTACAGTCTGTCTCTCTGCTCATGGGTTATCACTATTTAACCAGGCATGAAACGACGGACGGATACTGCAAATCTGATTTTCATCAACATATGAGGGGTTGGGTAGAGTGGTTTTAATCCCCAAGCTTACACCAAGAACAAAGGTCATGTGCTTGCGCAAACATTCTGATATCACTTTTGTCCGTTCTAGCATGTCTGTCTGTCTACTTCCGGCCCACGGTCTCTGCCAGCTTCTTGAGCCTCTTCTTGAGCTCCAGAGGAAACTTCTCGTAACACTTCTTGCACACCGGCTTCATGTCAAACTCCACAAACTTGTTCCTGTAAGGAAGAGACAAAAACACAATCTGTATGAGCAGGGTTCTGACTTTCATTTATCTTTTATTTATCCCTTCTGCTCCCTCTCTACCCTCCTGCTCCCTCTCTACCCTCATGCTCCCTCTCTCTCCCTCCTGCTCCCTCTCTACCCTCCTGCTCCCTCTCTACCCTCCTGCTCCCTCTCTCCCCTTTCTGCTCCCTCCTGCCCCCCCTTCTATTCCCTGCAGCTCTCTCCTGCCCCCCTTCTATTCCCTGCAGCTCCCTCCTGCCCCCCTTCTATTCCCTGCAGCTCTCTCCTGCCCCCCACTCTATTCACTGCAGCTCTCTCCTGCCCCCCTTCTATTCCCTGCAGCTCCCTCCTGCCCCCCTTCTATTCCCTGCAGCACCCTCCTGCCCCCCTTCTATTCCCTGCAGCTCTCTCCTGCCCCCCCCTTCTATTCCCTGCAGCTCTCTCCTGCCCCCCCTTCTATTCCCTGCAGCTCTCTCCTGCCCCCCCCCTTCTATTCCCTGCAGCTCTCTCCTGCCCCCCCCCTTCTATTCCCTGCAGCTCCCTCTCCCTCATGGTTCCCCCTCTACCTCCTGCTCCTGGAAAGAGGTCCTTTGAGCAGATTAATCTCTACAGTGTTTAGGCTTTAGCAGGGAGGCCACATGGAGAGCACATGTTAACCACATCGGGACCTTTAAAACATCTGACATCCAGTCCAGCCAGTACACAGAGACAGGAAACGATTAGTGTTTTACCCATAAACAAACCAGGATCTGGTGAACAAAGCCTTCTCTTTACACTCTGACTGATCTGACGAAATACACACTACCTACTACATGCCTCTAGCCTCAACCATCTGATCGGAGAGAAAAGGACTTCTGTTCGGATTATTGCAGGATTATTACAGAGCTGAATTATTATGTTAATCCCCTAAGTGTGTCTGGCTGAGGAATGGCCATATTGAGTAACCATTTCCTGCGGAGATCCTAAATATGGTCAACATTGCGTGGGAAACACTGGCACTGATGCAAATAACAGTTTAGGCCAATTATCAATCTGTACAGGTTATTAATCATTATTTATGATCTATAGCTAATCTCTACTTCCGTTGATTGCTCATACTCTAAAACTGATAAAGTACAGTGATGTTGAATGTGATGTAATAAAAAATGCATGGTTCATAGTTTATGTTTAACAGATATTTTATTTCTGTGTCTAAAACCCTCCTTTAACTGACTTGTCAGAGTGGACGGATGAAAGATACATAGATAGTAAAAGCACAACACAGGAAAAAGAGAATGAAAGGAGATGAAAACTAACCAATGAATGGAAAGTGGAAGTGAGGAGAAAGGAAGGACAGAGGTTTACAGACACATGGGCACTTTCTTCTTCTTTTCTTTTTCTCGTTTGGCAAGACGCCGCTTCATGTCGTCTGGCAGGCGCTTGTAGCAGTGTTTACACACAGGCTTCAGCTCCACCTCTACAAACTTATCCCTGGTACGACCAGGAAAGAGGAGGAAGAGAGGAAGAAAGAGGAGGGAGGAGGAGGATATGGACAGACAAACAGGGACATGTGAAAGAGAGGGACAGAGAGAAAGGGATGACACAGGTAGATGGAAAAGCTGGAAAATAGATCAGGTAGTCACAGGTACAGTGGAACAGGTAAAGCAGTAGAGACATATGAGAGACAGAAGAGGACAGAGCAATTGCTTCAGGTGGGCACAGAGCAGAAAGAAAGGTTTCAATTGAATTGAAATCTACACTCCCAAAGATAGTCTAGCCTCATTTCAATGTGTCAGCACACAGCACTCAGTCAGACTTACTTGAGGGTGAGCTTGGTGTTGCAGGTGGAACAGGCGAAGCAGTTGACACACCATGCCTTGTTCAGGGCTGAAACCACTGGAACACACAACACAAACACATCAAGTACATTAGCCGGGGTACCTGACAAGACAATGACAACATGGCTAAAGCAGAGACATTCTGGTTTCCAGGCTATAAGTCGTTTATAAGACAAATCTGACATATTAAATATTTGTTTTACTGTATATGATGTTAGGTGATAATATCTTACCATCACCCTCAATGACACGGTTGCAGTGGTAGCAGACATCTCCAAAGAGCTGTAGGAGAGGAGAGAGAGTCAATAGCCAGGCGCTCAATTCACTTTACATATTACATTTTCTTTACTCTTTACTGTATTCTTCAAGACAAGGGCCATGCAATTCACTTCACAAAGTCTTCATTTGTTGCTACATTTGTACTTCCACCAGTAGATGGTCCCATAAAACTAGCCAAGACTGGAGGTCACATTCACATTATATACAGCAAGATGCTTGCTTAAAGATAAATAAAATACAGTGCCTGGATTGGATTGAGTTACTAAGTAGAGATGTGATTGTGTGACTTCTCTTCCCTTGGGCTGTGTGTGCAGCCTGCCTGGTCCTACGTTACCTGGTTGTAGTGAGTCTCACAGTAGGCCAGTCCTTTGCGTTCGTAGTGGCGATGGCCCAGGAAGGGCTTCTCACACTTAGCACACACAAAATGCTGCAAACACACACAACATGGCCCCACACAACAGGTTAGTACAAACAGACCAGCACAGGTCAGTTTAATCCATATCGGTCTAGTTTATTTCCGACCTATTAAGAGTCAGACCAGACCAGTCCAGTCCCGTCTGAGATTAGTGGGTTCAGAGGACAGCAGCAGGGCAGGAGCGGCCCCCTGTGGAAGCACTCACCCCTACAGACAGACAGACAGACAGAAACAGGAGGAGCCTTGTTTGTCTGTGAGGGGTGAGTACCAGGGAGGTCCACCAGGGGGCAGAATGCAGCACAGACCAGACAGAGCGCAGGACAGAATGCAGCCAGGAAGGGTCTCCCATCAGTCACCCTAACTAACCCCACACCATGTTAAAGTGATTTTCACAGTAGGCGTGGTCCCCACACTCGTAATATGGGTGGCTCTGAAACGGACGCTCACACAGAGCACATACATGGTGTTACGGGGGGGGGGGGGGGGTAGAGAGGAAAGAAGGCAGCATAGATATGAACAGAGGAATGTAAGAGGGAAAGAAAGAAGAAGGATGTCCTCCATTCTGAGATAGTCCAAACATGGCCACAGAGATGATATGAGGGCAGGGTAGAAACAGAACCGAGGAGGCTAGTATAAAATCCATCCCACATACAAACTCCCTTGAATACATTTCTACTGTGATGTTCTAACAATGGGGAATTCCAAACCACCTGTTGTATAATAGGAAATAATAGTTGTTCAGCGACAGACAGACAAAGCAGTACATACCTAAGATCATAATGTAATAATAATAATAATAATAATATTGTAATAATCACTGGCTACAAAATACCATAATCATATACAATACATTTTTATCTGAATGTTCCATAACATTGCAACCTCCTGAACAGGTCCATATTGAATAAGGGATGTCATCATACCTCGACGTGCCACTGCTTGCCCATGGCATTGACCACGCGGCCCTCGATGGGTCTCCTGCAGGCGCCACATATGGGAACGCCCATCTTGTCATGGCAGGGCAGGCAGTACAGCTCTCCCTTCAGCTCCCTGGCATCAGCCGTCAGCTCCTTGCTACGGGGGGGAGAGGAGGGACAAACCTTACGCGCATCAACAACAGCTGTTAGTGGGGTGGTGGCTATTGTGTTCTGAATTAGATGCATATTAGAAGTAAGAAATATAAAGTAGATACTGCAGCCCATGAGGACTGGAGCAGTGGAATGCTGACCACACCTCTCATCTGTATCTGTGATACACTCTAAAAATTAGGGGTTCAACAAGGATTCTTCTAAGTTCCTCAAAGTTCTTTGAAGAACCTTAGGTTATTGGCACTGACAATTGCCCCCAAAAGGTTCTTCCAAAACCCCCATAGGAGGTGGGGTTCATCGAGGAACCTCCTTAGTTGGTGGGGGTTCTTGTGGGAACCTAACTGCCCAACTGAAACATTTGGATTTGAATTTGAAAGGATAGCAGGTGCAGGCACTTAACTGAAAAATGTAAATATTTGTCCCTTGTACGATCTAAATTGATATTGTTTTATGCTGATACCATATATCTTTTCATATTTGTGCACAAATGAATGGATATCAATCAACAAAGAAGTAAGAATATGTATTCTATAAGAATATGTTGAAGGCTATCTGTATTGGGTGCAGATGACTGAACTGCTCACTTTTGTGTCTGTGAGGAGGCATACAAAGGTATGTCAATTGGTATTGGTATGTTATACAGATCACATGTACCATCCTCCTCCCTTACCTCTTCAATGAAAATATCATAGGTCTCTACATTATGGACAAGGTATGTGTATGATAACCATTATCAAAACAGTTTTTTTCATTCACATTCACCACAAAAACCAAGGTATGAATACTGTAGTGTGCATGTTTTGTTAATCATCTGTATAATACATTTTTTGGGGATTCACATACTTCACCCTCCCTACACCTCTGATGAATATAACAGGAAACCTGTTCGATCACCATGCACTGCAAAATCATTCTGGCTATGGATACGGAGAACATCAACACGCCAGAGGATATACCCATTGGACTTGGGGCTCTGCTGGGAGTTTACCTCATCTTTGGATTTTTTTATTCTGCTTTGCCACTAAAATCATAATAAACACTGAGAACTAAAATATTGTGTTATTGTTGTTATTGTTATGCATATACAGTGGGGGAAAAAAGTATTTAATCAGCCACCAATTGTGCAAGTTCTCCCACTTAAAAAGATGAGAGAGGCCTGTAATTTTCATCATAGGTACACGTCAACTATGACAGACAAATTGAGAGAATTATTTTTTTTTTCTCCAGAAAATCACATTGTAGGATTTTTAATGAATTTATTTGCAAATTATGGTGGAAAATAAGTATTTGGTCACCTACAAACAAGCAAGATTTCTGGCTCTCACAGACCTGTAACTTCTTCTTTAAGAGGCTCCTCTGTCCTCCACTCGTTACCTGTATTAATGGCACCTGTTTGAACTTGTTATCAGTATAAAAGACACCTGTCCACAACCTCAAACAGTCACACTCCAAGCTCCACTATGGCCAAGACCAAAGAGCTGTCAAAGGACACCAGAAACAAAATTGTAGACCTGCACCAGGCTGGGAAGACTGAATCTACAATAGGTAAGCAGCTTGGTTTGAAGAAATCAACTGTGGGAGCAATTATTAGGAAATGGAAGACATACAAGACCACTGATAATCTCCCTCGATCTGGGGCTCCCTGCAAGATCTCAACCCATGGGGTCAAAATGATCACAAGAACGGTGAGCAAAAATCCCAGAACCACACGGGGGACCTAGTGAATGACCTGCAGAGAGCTGGGACCAAAGTAACAAAGCCTACCATCAGTAACACACTACGCCGCCAGGGACTCAAATCCTGCAGTGCCAGACGTGTCCCCCTGCTTAAGCCAGTACATGTCCAGGCCCGTCTGAAGTTTGCTAGAGTGCATTTGGATGATCCAGAAGAGGATTGGGAGAATGTCATATGGTCAGATGAAACCAAAATAGAACTTTTTGGTAAAAACTCAACTCGTCGTGTTTGGAGGACAAAGAATGCTGAGTTGCATCCAAAGAACACCATATCTACTGTGAAGCATGGGGGTGGAAACAACATGCTTTGGGGCTGTTTTTCTGCAAAGGGACCAGGACGACTGATCCGTGTAAAGGAAAGAATGAATGGGGCCATGTATCGTGAGATTTTGAGTGAAAACCTCCTTCCATCAGCAAGGGCATTGAAGATGAAACGTGGCTGGGTCTTTCAGCATGACAATGATCCCAAACACACCGCCCGGGCAACGAAGGAGTGGCTTCGTAAGAAGCATTTCAAGGTCCTGGAGTGGCCTAGCCAGTCTCCAGATCTCAACCCCATAGAAAATCTTTGGAGGGAGTGGAAAGTCCGTGTTGCCCAGCGACAGCCCCAAAACATCACTGCTCTAGAGGAGATCTGCATGGAGGAATGGGCCAAAATACCAGCAACAGTGTGTGAAAACCTTGTGAAGACTTACAGAAAACGTTTGACCTGTGTCATTGCCAACAAAGGGTATATAACAAAGTATTGAGAAACTTTTGTTATTGACCAAATACTTATTTTCCACCATAATTTGCAAATAAATTCATTACAAAATCCTACAATGTGATTTTCTGGAAAAAAAAATCTCAGTTTGTCTGTCATAGTTGACGTGTACCTATGATGAAAATTACAGGCCTCTCTCATCTTTTTAAGTGGGAGAACTTGCACAATTGGTGGCTGACTAAATACTTTTTTCCCCCACTGTATATGTCACTAATAATAATAATAACAGGGGAGGGGGGAGGGGGGTAGTTCAAAAATGAACCCCAAAAGGTTCTTCAAAAGGTTCTTTGAGGATCCATTAAAAGGGGTTATTTGAAAAACCCTTTAAAGGGTTCTTCAAAGAACTTATAGGGGTTCCCCCACAGTTTCACTTCAAATAACCCCTAAAGGATCCTCCAGGAACCTTTTATTTTTTAGAGTGTATGAAAATGTGTTAGTATGAGTCATCACTGAGTCAGCTCCTTGTCTAAAGTGGTGTTCTCTGGTGTGTGTGTGATGCTGGGTGAGCTTGTTTTGTTTAGCATCCTGCCAACAGTGTGCTTCCTGGTCTTGGTGAGTTCTACCTTATTAGGGGATAATAACTCTACTGTATTCACAACACAAAACAAGTGGCAGTGTTACATAGAGGAATGAGTTGTCTGCATACTTCCTGAATGAATATTCATCATCACAACATCTAACTCAAGGACAGGCTGACAACTGTAGGTTTGTTTAAGGACAGGCAGTCTTACGGGAAAGGTTTGGTTAGGTTGGAGGTGCCTCTCAACTGCTTTTAACTGTCATCTAAAAGAGCTACTGCGATAATCATTATTCTATCGTCAGTCCCTCTCTCCCTACTCTCTTCCTCCTCCTCCCTCTCTTCTCTCATTTGGCTGACTTGTACAGAGGGAAACTCTACTAAACCCAACCTTGAGGAGTCCCATCCTGCTACAGAGAACATACCCTGCCTATAGCACCTCTATGTAGAGATGGCTAATTGTATTACAGGATTTCAGTGTCTACCACTTTCAGTGGTCCTCTGTAGCTTAGCTGGTAGAGCACGGCGCTTGTAACGCCAAGGTAGTGGGTTCGATCCCCGGGACCACCCATACACAAAAATTTATGCACGCATGACTGTAAGTCGCTTTGGATAAAAGCGTCTGCTAAATGGCATATTATTATTATTATTATTACCACTGACAGGCTATACAGTCCATGAGAAGGGCTTACCAAGAAAAACTTCCAAAAGGACTAATTCGAGGTAGAAAGGTCTTGGAGCACTCAACAAAAAAAGCAGAGATTTATTTATTTTAGCTCACTAATCCATTGTACAGGATGCAGACAGGTGACTGATGTTTTGACATCAAGCTGATGTCTTTCTCAAAATGACCTGACCATTGTACTTAGCTCCAATGTATAGCCTAGTGGCCCATTGAGACACAATGTAAGAAAATAATAATGATATGTTTCAAGGTAAATGGCAAATTATAACACAAAATAATATTAATTAATAACAGAAATAGTGTATCTCGTTAGTCAATAGGCCAAGTCAAAATATACATAGATGATATTTGGGTGTCTGTGAATCTGGAGACACAGAGACCCCAAAAAATCAAGGCAACAACAGAAACGATGACAGTGAAAAATCATTGTTTAGACCCTTAGGATCCACAGTGTCTAAGGAGTATTGCCAGAATTCCTCTTTGTTTTAGTTTACGTACGATGCCACCTCCTCTTGGTGAAATGTGGATGTGTTTATGGCTACAAAGCCCAGGGAGGAAGATGGGCCATGGTTGGCTTCTATGCAGTGGCGCGCAATAGCATAGTCCGTGTTTTTATTACGAATAGCAGCCGTGTTTAGAATGGCAATGCAGTGTTTAGAAACTATAATGCATCTGGTATTTCTGATATGAGAGAACAAAAGACTTTCAAAAAGAGTCCCTCTGTTCTCACCTACAGCAGGCTGATAGAACATGATTTTCCTAAACTGGCCCACAATACTCCTAAACAAGAAGCTAATCTCATTAATGATTAACAAAATGCTTTGAAGGAACTGAAAGACAATCCAGATATTGTGATAAAAAATGCTGATAAGGGAGGGTCTATTGTGATATTAAGCAGGGAACAATATGATAGTGAGGTCTATGCTCAACTCTGACACTAATTTACATTTACGTTATTTAGCAGACTCTCTTATCTAGAGCGACTTACAGTAGTGAGTGCATACATTTTCATACTTTTCCCCGCCGTACTAAGTGTTATGTCCCTCTCCGTTCCAACCCCACAGACAGAATAAAAAGGATATACACTGCTCAAAAAAATAAAGGGAACACTTAAACAACACATCCTAGATCTGAATGAATGAAATAATCTTATTAAATACTTTTTTCTTTACATAGTTGAATGTGCTGACAACAAAATCACACAAAAATGATCAATGGAAATCAAATGTATCAACCCATGGAGGTCTGGATTTGGAGTCACCCTCAAAATTAAAGTGGAAAACCACACTACAGGCTGATCCAACTTTGATGTAATGTCCTTAAAACAAGTCAAAATGAGGCTCAGTAGTGTGTGTGGCCTCCACGTGCCTGTATGACCTCCCTACAACGCCTGGGCATGCTCCTGATGAGGTGGCGGATGGTCTCCTGAGGGAACTCCTCCCAGACCTGGACTAAAGCATCCGCCAATTCCTGGACAGTCTGTGGTGCAACGTGGCGTTGGTGGATGGAGCGAGACATGATGTCCCAGATGTGCTCAATTGGATTCAGGTCTGGGGAACGGGCGGGCCAGTCCATAGCATCAATGCCTTCCTCTTGCAGGAACTGCTGACACACTCCAGCCACATGAGGTCTAGCATTGTCTTGCATTAGGAGGAACCCAGGGCCAACCGCACCAGCATATGGTCTCACAAGGGGTCTGAGGATCTCATCTCGGTACCTAATGGCAGTCAGGCTACCTCTGGCGAGCACATGGAGGGCTGTGCGGCCCCCCAAAGAAATGCCACCCCACACCATGACTGACCCACCGCCAAACCGGTCATGCTGGAGGATGTTGCAGGCAGCAGAACGTTCTCCACGGCGTCTCCAGACTCTGTCACGTCTGTCACATGTGCTCAGTGTGAACCTGCTTTCATCTGTGAAGAGCACAGGGCGCCAGTGGCGAATTTGCCAATCTTGGTGTTCTCTGGCAAATGCCAAACGTCCTGCACGGTGTTGGGCTGTAAGCACAACCCCCACCTGTGGATGTCGGGCCCTCATACCACCCTCATGGAGTCTGTTTCTGACCATTTGAGCAGACACATGCACATTTGTGGCCTGCTGGAGGTCATTTTGCAGGGCTCTGGCAGTGCTCCTCCTGCTCCTCCTTGCACAAAGGCGGAGGTAGCGGTCCTGCTGCTGGGTTGTTGCCCTCCTACGGCCTCCTCTACGTCTCCTGATGTACTGGCCTGTCTCCTGGTAGCGCCTCCATGCTCTGGACACTACGCTGACAGACACAGCAAACCTTCTTGCCACAGCTCGCATTGATGTGCCATCCTGGATGAGCTGCACTACCTGAGACACTTGTGTGGGTTGTAGACTCCGTCTCATGCTACCACTAGAGTGAAAGCACCGCCAGCATTCAAAAGTGACCAAAACATCAGCCAGGAAGCATAGGAACTGAGAAGTGGTCTGTGGTCACCACCTGCAGAACCACTTCTTTATCGGGGGTGTCTTGCTAATTGCCTATAATTTCCACCTGTTGTCTATTCCATTTGCACAACAGCATGTGAAATGTATTGTCAATCAGTGTTGCTTCCTAAGTGGACAGTTTGATTTCACAGAAGTGTGATTGACTTGGAGTTACATTGTGTTGTTTAAGTGTTCCCTTTATTTTTTTGAGCAGTGTAGATAGCTTCATTGATAACGCTCTTTCAGAGGATTGGATCCGGCAAAGAGAGAAGGATTTTCTCATTACGTCACACCCAGCCTGTCCAGTTTATTATGGCTTACCGAAAATACACAAAAGTATGGAAAAACCTCCTTTACGTCCCATAGTGTCAGGCAACAGTAGACCTATTGAACCCCTATCTCAGTATGTTGATTTCTTCATCTCTAAATTTGTGCCAGCATTGGCAGCCTTTTTAGGAGATACCAGGGATGTGCTTAAGATAATCAATAGATGCGACACCGAAAGCATATTGGTTACACTTGACGTTCAGTCCCTCCGTAGGCCTATGAGCGCTCTCTCGCTATCTCAACACTAGACTGGAGGGTATCTTACCTCCATCTAACTTCATTCTGTCTCTCACTGAAAAAGCCCTCACATCAAATTACTTCCAATATGCAGGCAGTTTCTACCAAACAGATTCGGGGTACAGCGATGGGAGCATAGGCGGTGTGTCCATAAGGCTAGGGCAAGCTTTCCCTAAAGAACATTTAATTTAATTTCCAAAATTATATAGCCTAATTAGCCTACTCCTGTCTATACAGAAATAAATAAAATCATTCAAAGTAGGCTACTAAAGCATGATTTGGCCACAAAGGATCATGAGCATTGCTTGCAGTCGGAATGCAGTCGGAAGGAAAGGCTGCGTGCGCCAAATACATGATCGTTGAGTTGCGACTGTCAGTAGTAGCCTACAGGCCCAGCCAGGCATATCGTATTATTTCAAAATACAATCGCGGGAAAACATTGTTTGGAAAACAAATGGTTATTCCTGTAAAGATATGTACATTGTGACAACACGACCAATACTAACGTTTTTTACCACCCCAGAACAGGTAAAGAATACAAAATCCAAAGCTTCCTTAATTGTAACACCACAAATGTCATATACATGCTCAAATGCATCTGCAGGGCTGCTTATGTTGGTCAAACTAAACAAGAATTGAAATGCATAATTGCAGAACATAACGCTTCGATCAGACCGACAGTACCATTGCATCAAAATTGTTACTGGACATATGTGAAACAAAAGTTCAACATTCACATTTTGCTACTATTTCTGTCAAGTCTAGCATACAATTTCATGAATACATTGGATAAATCCAACAGATGCACCACACAGAAAGCACTGCAACTGCCTCTGCAACGCAATGTTGCAAGACAAACGCAGTGTTACATTGAAAATGAATGTACTTCAGTTGTATCAAAACGCAATAATACTGTCGGTCAGATCGAGGTGTAATGTCTTGATAACACCGATAGTGTTATTGCACGCAAAATAGTAAGCAGCATCATCTGGATATGTGTGCAACAAAAGTTCACCTTCTGCTGCCATTTCTGTAAAGCCGTCTACGCATACAGTTTGACGCATACATTCGATAAATCCAAGGTATGCACCACACAGAACACTTCCAAATTTCACCAAGAGGAGGTGACATCATATGTAAACTAAAACAGAGGCATTCTGGCAGTACTCCTTAGACACTGTGGATCCTAAGGGGCTAAGATGGTTTTTCACTGTCATCGTTTCTCTAATGTTGTTGCCTTGATTTTTTGGGGTCTCTTTTTCTCCAAATTCACAGACACCCAAATATCATCTATGTATATTTTGACATGGCCTATTGATTAACGAGACATTATTTTTCTTATTATTAGTATTTTGTGCTATAATTTGCCATTTACCTTGAAACATATCAGAATTATTATTTTCTTACATTGTTGTGTCTCAATGGGACTATAAATAGGACCTAAGTACAATAGTCAGGTCACTCTGAGGAAGACCTCAGCTTGACATCGGAATTTCAGTCACTTGTTCCATCCTGTACAATGGACTAAGGTGAGCTAAAATAAATACATATTTTTTTGTTGAGTGCTCCAACTCCTTTCTACCACAAATTAGTCTTTTGGGAAGTTTTTCTTGGTAAGCCCTTCTCATGATTGTTGTCATTGTTGTTGAGCACCCCTCCTGTCCTTTGTTTGCTGAAGCGAAGGCCCACCTGAACTCTAAGCTACAGTACATGTATAGGTTGCATAGCGGTTGTGTAGAAGTTGAGTAAAGATTTGGCAGTGGTTGAATATAGACCACTAGGTTTATGTAGAGGGTGTGTGACGTTTGTGTGGTGATTTAGTAGTGATTGGGTTTAGGTTGAATGCAGGTTGTATAAATATTGTGTTTTGGTTGTGTAGTAGTTGTATATAGGGTTTGTGGAGTTCTTTCTAGATTTCTTGCATGTGTACCCGCAGTTGTTGCAGTTGAAGTGGTCGGGGTGGTAGGGGTCGTTCTTGAACAGCAGCGGCTGCTCCTCGATGATGGCGTGGCACTTCTGACAGATGTACTTCCCCAGACCACGGGCTTTCTCACGGTTATGACACGGGCGACACAAGTGTCTGAGGGAGAGAGATACATGTTAGTAAAGAGAGCTCAGCCTGACCCAGAGGCTGAAATAATGTTGCTACATTAAAATTACGGGAGGGTGTTAACAGTGTGTGGGATTTCTCTTTGCTTTATAAAAGCTATGCAGCGGAAAAGTTGCTGTCCCCTATCCCATGGTGTTAAATCAGCAATGGCTGATCAGTGATCCAGTCCAGGTCTCTGGACTGACCTGCCGGCGTTCTTGACGAAGCCCACGTCAGCAAGCACAGCCTGGCAGAGGTCACAGCAGAAACAGTCAGGGTGCCAGCTGTTGTTCATCGCCTTGATCACACGACCAATGATAAACTCCCCTGGGAGGAGGAGGAGGTGGTCAGGGACAACACACTGGCAACAATATAACATCCCCCGTGAACACACATATCCACCTGTTAATATAGAGAGAAATAACTAAAGAAAAAACTCTTGGCCCATGAAAGCAATTGGCGATAGAAGTCTACACAGTTGTGCCTAGGGCTCAAAGTGAGGGAAGCAGGGTTAAAGGAGCCCAAATATGACCTTAAGCTTCAGACAACACCACCAGTGTTGATAATGCTGCTGTGTAGGTGCAGTTGCTGTACTCACCACACTGGTGGCAGCAGGGAGCAAACAGCATCTGGAAGTCATGCTCGCAGTACTTCCTGCCCTCAAACTGCAGAAGAAGTGAACAAGCATCAGAACCAGTCAATGATTAGAACATACAGTAGCCATAGATAGACCTGTACGTCTACAGATCTGTCTGTGGCTATGATCTCCCTTTCAGGGAAGAGCTCTGGGTTCCCTATGGTCAGCTGGAGCAGTGTCTGGCCTCCTGTCTGTTCTGCTGGCCCCTAAAAAGCCAGACAAACAGAGACAGAGCGAGACCGAGAGGGGGATAACTCAGAGACAACCCACTGGGTACAGACGTCTAGTTTTGATTTACATTTGGTTGAGTTGTCAACTAACTTGAACTCAACGTGAAATCAACAAAAAAATTGACCTTGTCATTGGATTTAGATTGAATGTTGAGTGCACATTTTTTTTTTATGACTTTTTGAAAATCAAATCAGTTTTCTACGTTGATTCAACGCCATCAAATGTTTTCGTTGCTGTTGAAATGACGTGGAAACAACGTTGATTCAACCAGTTTTTGCCCAGTGGGGAGCTTCTAATGGGCCAGTAATGCATTAGGCTGAGTGCTGTGAGGTTAGGAGTCGATCCAGTTAATACACTTTACCCAATATGGAATTTGTGACAGGAGGTGAAGGTGTTTCAACCCTTCTTATCTTCTTATATTGCCACACGTACCAAATATTTTGTTGATGTTTTCAGCATGAGGGCCATGTATGCAAAAGTTGTAATAAATCTCCCTTAAAGCTGGAATCTGCATTCGGTGAAAGAGTGCCACTGGTCGCCCCAGGTGCACTTGTTATTGTTTTGTTTATGAAAGGAGGAGAGGAGCATCTAACAACTTGGTTTAAAAAAAAGTAGTATAGTCTGCTGTTCTATCGCACGTGCAATGATGTACAATGATGTCAGAGGGAAAAAAAACTGTTTGTTTGAAGTAACGTCTTTGTTGTTGTAATATCACAAATGGACGTGGCAGTTCCACCGCTACGGATTCCAGGAGGCTAACACAATAAATGTCTCTAGGATAAGGGACTTGGGTTTACTTCAGGCTAGACAGTGTTGTATAGGATGAGATGGGTGAGAGGGAGATGGATAATAAGGCTGCGTTTACACAGGCAGCACAATTCTGATCCTTTGCACAATTATGGGCTAAAGATCTGATTGGTCAAAAGACCAATCAGTAAAGAAAACATATCAGAAACACAGACTACGAAATGTTCCTTCTAATTTGTTGGGGCACTGAGCGGAAACTTGAACGTTGTGAGAATTTTGTGCAACTTCCAGCATGTTTACAGTGAACACTGAGGCTGTACCCTTACAGTTTTAGAAAGTAGCCAATAGGCTATTGTGGCTATTTCAGCATAATGTAGGCCTACCAACAAAACCAATGGAGCAAATCCCATAAAATGTTCACATGGGAAATAGCTTTTGATTTATATGATATAGCCTACAGTAGCCTATATGTTGTGTTCAATGCAGGCCTACATTGCATGAGACTTTTAAAAACGTTTTTACATTATGAAGGGCTTGTCATTAATGATTTTTTACTTGGCCTGTAACACCATGGGCCAAATAGGTGACTGTAAATTGCATTGATAGGTGACTCAAAGACAGATTGAAATGTAGCCTAAGCCTACATGTTTTGTGCTCTTATAGGGTGTAGTAACTCCCCATTGCTGACCTATACTTATCTATAACTGGGCTAATAACTCGCTAACTAGCAAAGAATATCAACAAATATGCACACGCTCTGATCTGAACTGATCTGAAAAGCGCATTCACTCACGGGTGATTGAAAGACCGCTCGTGGGCTACCCCCACCAGTGGCGACCCGTCATCCGTTTTGAACCCCACCTGTTTTTTGTTGTTGTTGCCTGTTTTGCATGTTATTTTGGCATGTAAAAAAAATCATTGGGTTAATAAAGCCGCATACAAACATGGTCTCTTTTTTGGTTTCTTGAGTAAGGCAGCTCCAAAATGCAGGTGTTTCAGCCTAGCTCAGTGCTTTCTGTGGCGGTGGGGCAGCCAGCGGAAAATACGGAGCGTAGTGGTTGGTAATGTTCTCTAGTTGCGCCGTGATTGGCTCAATGTCACTCATGGGGACACTACGTCACCGCAAAATCTACGGGGAGAGCTCGAAAATTCAAGCCCCTTGGGTGCTGCCATAGATTTACATTAGAAGTGCCCATCCAAGAAGGCTCAAGGTCATTGGCCACAGATAAATTAACGTCAAATCACGTTATATCTACGGTAGCTTTGATTGGACTGATCATGTCAACATCATACTTTCATCTTAGCTAGCAAGCAGTCATCATCATCAAGTCGACAATCTACTGGCAAATCGTTTTCAACCCTTGTCATATGAAGAGAAATTATAAATAAAACGTATTGGACATTAACAATGAGTGGTTTGGAAGGAATCAGTGGCTAACTGCAAGCTTTGCAAAGCAATCACTAGCCTGCTATTCAGTGGAGAGGGTGTGGGTTTTAAGGGTCTCTTTTCCAAGCTTAAAAGGATAAACATTCACTCGCAACACACCATGGGCCAAAAAAGGTTGAATACATTGGCCATGCTGTCAATCCAGCATGACTTCTGCCGCGTTCAAAACAACTGGAAAATCTCAGACTTCAGTGAGTTCAAGACAACTGGGAACAAGCTCCGACTGGGAAAATACATTTTGAACAGTCATCCAACTTGGATATCCAAGTCGGGAACTCTGGCCTCTTTCTAGAGCTCCGACCTGAAGATCACTGACGTCAGGATTCGACCTTGTTTTTGTCAGAGTTCCCAGTTGTCTTGAAAGCACCATAAATCCAGAGAATACCAGACTTTGATGACAAAGTTTGATGACAAAATTTGCCCACAAGAAGGACCACCGCCACACCTTCCTGTTCAAGTGAGCACAGAACAACAAGGTGAGTCCAAAAATGTATTGTATGCTGCTGCATAAATGATGTAATATGCCAGGGAGATATGTATACTGTAGCTAAGAAAGTAATACTAAGTGTATGTTGTGTAGTTAGCTGTTAGTAGCCCATGTGCCTCACCCTAATAATTTCCCCCTCACAACTTAGCCTACTGTTCTGACTTGGTGGTGCACATGTAGCCTATAGCCTGTTTTAGAGAAATGTAATCATCTAATATTGTAAGAGCTTTCATTATCTGCTTATATGCCCCCTTTACTTATCCTACGGTTCTGACTTGGTGTACATGGAGAACACTATAAGAATGGCCCATGTTCTGAATTCTGTCGCTGAACATTTCAAAAGTGCTGAACAAATAGTTATATTGACAATGTCCATCTTAGCTCGCTCATTAATGTCTGAATGGAAATTACGGATTGCCTCTTATCCGCTCGTTGTTCCCTTATGCCATAGTTTGTACATCTCAATTGTCAGTAGAAACCACATTTGTTTAAGCAAGTCAGCCATATCAGCTATGTTTTTTAAAAAGGCAGTAAATGAGGCTGAATGAACAGTTTCGCTGCCAGATAAGGCTCCGCTGATAGCCAGGTGTAGCAGTGGTAAGGATTTACTCCATGGTGCTGAAAAGAAAGCTCTGCTGTTGGGACAGCTTTATGTAGGCCCTAACAGTTTGTGGGCACCGTTTGTCACCGTTATAGTGCAATTAATGTATTGCTTAGTGTTGCGTTGTGTTGTGTAGTGGCTTTGCTGGCATGCTTACAAAAAAAGTGTGTTGAGTTTGCCCCACCAAGATTTACATGCTAAAATCGCCACTGACCCCCGCCAATAGAATTCTACTCCACTGCGCTCTGGCTCTGCCTACAACAAAATCACAGACTCAATCTTGCAAAGTTAGATTTGTTTTGGTTTGTTGCATTGAAAAGGGGTTGATATAATGTTGATTAGATCACAGAAAAAATGTTGATCTATATAGTGTGAACTCAGTGAAGTTCAATCTCTTGCGTCCCTGCGCGGCCTAGCAATTCTTCTGCGCGGCAGTCCTGAGGGTCTGATGGTAGAGAGGGATAGAGGAGAGAGGGTCTGATGGTAGAGAAGAGAGAGGGTCTGATGGTAGAGAGGGAGAGAGGGAGAAAAGAGAGAAGGGTCTGATGGTAGAGAGGGAGAGAGGAGAGAAGGGTCTGATGGGAGAGCGGGAGAGAGGAGAGAAGGTCTGATGGGAGAGAGGAGAGAGGGTCTGATGGTAGAGAGGGAGAGAGGGAGAGAAGAGAGAAGGTCTGATGGTAGAGAGGGAGAGAGGAGAGAAGGGTCTGATGGGAGAGAGAGGAGATAGGAGAGAGGAGGGAGAGAGGAGAAGAGGGTCTGGATTGGTAGAGAGGGAGAGAGGAGAGATGGGTCTGATGGTAGAGAGGGAGAGAGGAGGAGAGGGGGCTGGATTGGTAGATAGGGTAGAGAGAAGAGATGGGTCGATGGGTAGAGAGGTAGAGAGGAGAGTTGGTCCTGATTGGTAGAGAGGGAGAGAGGAGAGAAGGTCTGAATGGTAGATATGTGAGATAGGAGAGCTGGTCTGATGGTAGAGAGGGAGAGAGGAGAGAGAGGGTCCTTGATGGTAGAGAGGGAGAGAGGAGGACAGGTCTGATGGTAGAAGAGGTGAGAGAGGAGTAACGGGTCTGATTGATGGTATAGAGAGGGAGAGAAGGTCTCATGGTGGAAACACACTAAAACCCAAAACAATAACATGAAGAGCTATCTATACCAAAATGGGGGAAGAATGGATAAACCACTTCTCCCAACCTTTTTGGACATACAGTGGGGTGAAACAAGTATTTGATACACTGCCGATCTTGCAGGTTTTCCTACTTACAAAGCGTGTAGAGGTCTGTAATTTTTTTATCATAGGTACAATTCAACTGTGAGAGACGGAATCTAAAACAAAAATCCAGAAAATCACATTGTATGATTTTTAAATAATTAATTTGCATTTTATTGCATGACATAAGTATTTGATCACCTACCAACCAGTAAGAATTCCAGCTCTCACAGACCTGTTAGTTTTTCTTTAAGAAGCCCTCCTGTTCTCCACTCATTACCTGTATTAACTGCACATGTTTGAACTCGTTACCTGTATAAAAGACACCTGTCCACACACTCAATCAAACAGACTCCAACCTCTCCACAATGGCCAAGACCAGAGAGCTGTGTAAGGACATCAGGGATAATATTGTAGACCTGCACAAAGCTGGGATGGGCTACAGGACAATAGGCAAGCAGCTTGGTGAGAAGGCAACAACTGTTGGCGCAATTATTAGAAAATGGAAGAAGTTCAAGATGACGGTCAATCATCCTCGGTCTGGGGCTCCATGCAAGATCTCACCTCGTGGGGCATCAATGATCATGAGGAAGGTGAGGGATCAGCCCAGAACTACACGGCAGGACATGGTCAATGACCTGAAGAGAGCTGGGACCACAGTCTCAAAGAAAACCATTAGTAACACACTACGCCGTCATGGATTAAAATCCTGCAGCGCACGCAAGGTCCCCCTGCTCAAGCCGGCGCATGTCCAGGCCCGTCTGAAGTTTGCCAATGACCATCTAGATGATCCAGAGGAGGAATGGGAGAAGGTCATGATGAGACAAAAATAGAGCTTTTTCGTCTAAACTCCACTCGCTGTGTTTGGAGGAAGAAGAAGGACGAGTACAACCCCAAGAACACCATCCCAACTGTGAAGCATGGAGGTGGAAACATCATTCTTTGGGGATGCTTTTCTGCAAAGGGGACAGGACGACTGCACCGTATTGAGGGGAGGATGGATGGGGCCATGTATTGCGAGATCTTGGCCAACAACCTCCTTCCTTCAGTAAGAGCATTGAAGATGGGTTGTGGCTGGGTCTTCCAGCATGACAACGACCCGAAACACACAGCAAGGGCAACTAAGGAGTGGCTCCGTAAGAAGCATCTCAAGGTCCTGGAGTGGCCTAGCCAGTCTCCAGACCTGAACCCAATAGAAAATCTTTGGAGGGAGCTGAAAGTCCGTATTGCCCAGCGACAGCCCCAAAACCTGAAGGATCTGGAGAAGGTCTGTATGGAGGAGTGGGCCAAAATCCCTGCTGCAGTGTGTGCAAACCTGGTCAAGACCTACAGGAAACGTATGATCTCTGTAATTGCAAACAAAGGTTTCTGTACCAAATATTAAGTTCTGCTTTTCTGATGTATCAAATACTTATGTCATGCAATAAAATGCAAATGAATTACTTAAAAATCATACAATGTGATTTTCTGGATTTTTGTTTTATATTCCGTCTCTCACAGTTGAAGTGTGCCTATGATAAAAATTACAGACCTCTACATGCTTTGTAAGTAGGAAAACCTGCAAAATCGGCAGTGTATCAAATACTTGTTCTCCCCACTGTATATAAAAAAAACAAGAGCAAAAACATATACATGGTAATTTACAAAAACGTAGAATCAGCTACTAAACACTATCAGAACCCACAGCATTCTCAAATTACATTGGATGAGCTACAGGACAAAATACAAACCCTCCAACCCAAAAAGGCCTGTGGTGTTGATGGTATACTAAACAAAATGATAAAATATACAGACCACAAATTCAAATGGGCTATTCTTAAACTCTTCAACTTTATCCTCATCTCTGGCATCTTCCCTAATATTTGGAACCAAGGCCTGATCATCCCAATCCACAAAAGTGGAGACAAATTTGACCCCAATAATTACCTTGCATCTGCAGCAATCTCTGAAAAATCCTCTGCAGCATCATCAACAGCAGACTCCAACATTTTCTCAGTGAAAATAATGTCCTGAGCAAATGTCAAATTGGCTTCTTACCAAAATAACGTTCAACAGACCACGTATACACCCTGCACACCATTATTGACAAACAAAACAAAAGCAACGTTTTCTCATGCTTTGTTGATTTCAAAAAAGCTTTTGACTCAACTTGTAGCCAAGACAACAAATACACATTCTATCTAGACACTGTTGCTCTAGAGCACAAAATAATTACACCTACCTAAACATCAACACCACAGGTAATGTCCACAAGGCTGTGAACGATCTAAGAGACAAGGAAAGAAGGGCCTTCTATGCCATCAAAAGGAACATAAAACTCAACATCCCAATTAGGATCTGGTAAAGAATAATTCAATCAGTTATCGAACCCATTGCCCTCGATGGTTGTGAGGTCTGGGGTCCACTCAAGAATTGTACTGCAAAAATATACTTTGTGTACAACGCAAAACCCCAAACAATGCATGCAGAGCAGAATTAGGACTACACCCGCTAGTTATCAACATCCAGAAAAGAGCTGTTAAATTCTACAACCACCTAAAAGGAAGCGATGCCCACACATTCCACCATAAAGCCCTCACCTACAGAGAGATTAACCTAGAGACGAGTCCCCACAGCCAGCTGGTTATGGGGCTCTGTTCACAAACACAAACAGACCCCACAGAGCCCCAGGACAGAAACACATTTAGACCCAACCATATTATGAGAAAGCAAAAACATAACTATTTGACACACTGGAAAGAATCAACCAAAAAACAGAGAAAATTGGAACGATATCTGGCCCTAAAAAGAGAGTACACAGTGGCCTGACCCTAAATTAAGAAAATCCTTGACTATGTACAGACTCACTGAGCATAGCCTTGCTATTGAGAGAGGCCGCCATAGGCAGACCTATGTGCCCACTGCCCACAAAATGAGGTGGAAACTGAGCTACACTTCCTAACCTCCTGACAAATGTATGACCATATTAGAGACAAATATTTCCCACAGATCACACAGACCCACAAAGAATTTGAAAACAAATCAAAGTGAACATCACCTCGTAGAAGAGACCCTCAGGGAACTGTTGGAAGCACTGAGCACAAACGAAGCACCCCTCATGGTACAGCTCCCCGTTACTGTTGACGATCTTCTCCGCTGGGGCAAAGCCACTTTTACAGCGCTCACACATCGCATTGGCCAGGGCATTGGCCATGTTGCTGATAGGAGAGAGAGTGGAGAGAAGGAAGACGAGAGAGTTTACATTAGTATTATTTTTCTTTTTTCTAAGAAGGGAAAGAATAGGTCATAGAGTAAGTAACGTCACAATGAACACAGTGTAGAACCCTATTGGCAAGGTTTTATCAGTAGACACACCACGGCTGAAGCACATTCATCACCCATCGTACAGAAATTATAGTTTCCCTCTGACACAACACACCCAGCTGGAGGATGTATTCAGGGTTTGGAGATCAGGGTGGGGAAATGAGTGAGGAGAGCTGACACATTCCCTCATACACATATACAGTTGAAGTCGGAAGTTTTACATACACTTAGGTTGGAGTCATTAAAAACTCGTTTTTCAACCACTCCATGTTATGTGGGCAGCTTGTCTCTCCCTTTTCTGTTTCCCTTCCTCCTTGTTTTGTCCCCTCTTTTTCTGTTGTATCTGTATGTGTGTTTGTCCCCTTTATGTGGGTGTGTCTGGAGTGGAGCAGGGGGCGTGCTCAGGATCTGCCTCTCCTGTGCAGCTGCGGGTTGTTTCCAGTGATTCCTGCCTACGCAGCTGCATCCTATTCTCTCATCAACCTGCACTACTTATTCCTGGGCATGGCTCTCCACCGGCGCCAGATCGTTGTTCTTACCAGAGCGGTAACTTGGCTCACCAGTAAAGTTATTTTGTCTTTGTCTTCAGCCTGGCTCTCCACACTCCTTAACCTGTCGTTGTTTTGTCTTTAGTTTCGGACATACCTCCCAACCTGCCTGCCTTCCTGCCTGTCGGTCTGCCTGCCTGCCTGCCTGCCTGCCTGCCTCAGCCTCTCCTTCCTCCGGAGCCGACTAGCCCACTCTGTTCCTTTACTTCAGTTGTTTTTGGACTAAGACAATTTTAACTTTTATTAAATCTTTTTGTTTCTTCCACTCCCTTTGTCGTGTTTGTTTCTCTGAGTGCTGGGTTGAACCATAGCCTAACAGAACGATCTGGCCATGGACCCAACAGAGAAACAGCACGGGGCAAACAAAGACAGCTTCCAACAAGCTATCCAGGCTCAAGGAACGTTGCTAGGACAGCATGACCAGTTGATTCGGACTCTTGTGGAAGATAATCATCAACTGCTGAACCAGGTGACTCAGTTAACTACACACGTCTCTAAATTGTCTGTTATCAGTTCTCCATCTCTCTCTGACCCCCAGTTTGATGCACCCCAAGTTGTTTCCTCGGACACTAGGCAGGCTTCGTTCCGTCGGGAAACCCCCTGTCACGTCGCCTGAACCGTTCAATGGAGAATTGGACAAGTGCCGGGGATTTTTGCTTCAGTGTGACTTGATTTTTCGGCAGAGACCACTGTCGTTTTCTACTGATTCATCTAAGGTACATTATGTTCTGGGGCTGTTAAGAGGGAAAGCTCTGGTTTGGGCTGAGGCTGTGTGCTCAGATCAAACTTTGACTGGATTGACTTTTGCTGATTTCTCTGCTAAATTGAAGACTGTTTTTGACCATCCTGACCATGTGGGTAATTCCTCCAAGATACTTTTTAATTTGAGGCAGGGTTCTAACAGTGTGGCAGAGTACTCTATTGAGTTCTGGACGTTGGCAGCGGACTCCAAGTGGAACAATGTGGCACTTCAAGGAGCATTTCTAAACGGTTTGAATGAAGCCATTAAGGATGAACTGGCTGCTCGTGATGAGCCACATGATTTACATTCTCTCGTTTCCCTGTCCATCAAGCTAGACAATCGGTTGCGGGAGAGGCGTCGGGAGAGAGGCGATCGGCCACATCTAGGAGGACGAGTTCCCCAGCCTTCAACCACTCGAGTCTCGCCTCTCCGGAGTCGGCAGCTTCTTGTTCCTGATTCCATCCCGAGCACAGAGGAGGAACCTATGCAAGTGGGTCGAGCTCGACTACCTCCAGCTGAGCGGCAACGGCGCCTCCAGGCGGGTGAGTGCCTGTACTGTGGAGACGCCACACACATTCTGGCTACATGCCCTAAGCGGCCAAAAGACAAGGCTCGCTCGTAACGGTGGGTCTACTTGCGAGCCCAGAGTTAGATCCTGAACCCATCATTCCCCGATTACAAGTACCTGTAACCTTACGTTTCCAGAGTCATTCCCTGCCACTCTCAGCTCTCATAGACTCAGGTGCAGAAGATAACTTTATTAGCCACCAGTTCGTTACACAAGCTCGTATCCCCATGGAGCCACTACCTACCCCCATTCGGGTCACAGCCCTTGATGGGCGCCTCCTCGCGGAGATAAACTCATCAAACCACCCCCGTTTCCCTAGTGATTTCTGGCAATCATTGTGAAAGCATTCAGCTAAGAGTTATGTCTGGCTCAGCTACCTCCCTTATCCTTGGCTTCCCCTGGTTGGCTCTTCACAACCCACAAATTGATTGGACACGTCACACCATTCTCAGTTGGAGCACTAACTGCCATTCCGAGTGCCTGAGGTCAGCGGTTCCCCCCACTAAGTGTAACCCAACTCCTCCCTCAGCTCCTCTTGATCTGTCATCTGTCCCCAAAGAATACCATGACTTAGCGGAGGTTTTCAGTAAGGACAAGGCTCTGTCTCTACCACCACATAGGCCTTATGATTGCCCTATTGAACTGCTTCCTGGTGCTCCCTTGCCCTCTAGTCGGTTATACAATCTGTCCCGACCGGAAAGAGAGGCAATGGAGCAGTACATTGGTGATTCTCTGGTCTCGGGCATAATCCGTCCCTCGTCGTCTCCTTTGGGTGCAGGTTTCTTTTTCGTGGAAAAGAAGGACAAGTCGTTACGCCCCTGTATCGATTTCAGGGGTTTAAACAACATAACTGTTTAAAAACAAGTATCCCCTTCCACTCATCAACTCAGCTTTTGAACCTCTGCATGGCGCCACAGTGTTTTCCAAGCTCGACCTCAGGAATGCTTATCACCTTGTCCGAATCCGAAAGGGGAGATGAGTGGAAAACCGCTTTCAACACTCCACTGGGACATTTTGAGTATTTGGTCATGCCCTTTGGGCTTTCAAATGCCCCTGCGGTTTTCCAAGCCATGGTGAACGATGTTCTTAGGGATTTTTTGAACCGTTTTGTCTTTGTATACCTGGATGATATTCTTGTTTTTTCCAAGTCACCCGAGGAGCATGAGTCACACGTCCGTCAAGTCCTTCAACGGCTCTTGGAGAACAAGCTGTACGTCAAAGCAGAGAAGTGTGAGTTCCACAAACAGTCTACATCGTTCCTTGGATTCATAATTGAGAGCGGGCAGGTGAAGGCGGACCCCGAGAAGATCCGGGCAGTGACGGAATGGCCCACACCCACCACCCGTAAGCAACTTCAACGATTTTTTGGGCTTTGCTAACTTCTACCGTAGATTCATTAAGGGTTTTAGTAGAGTGGTGGCACCCCTTACAAGACTCACATCTCCTAAAGTCCCTTTTCGGTGGTCCCCTGAGGCGGAGCAGGCGGGTAGGGGTTTTGAAGGAACTGTTTTCCACCTCCCCCGTGTTGATACACCCCAATACCTCTCTGCAGTTTGTTGTGGAGGTGGACGCGTCGGACTCAGGTGTGGGAGCAGTCCTCTCCCAGCGCTCCCCCACTGACCAAAGGCTTCACCCCTGTGCTTTTTTCTCCAAGAAATTGTCACCCACAGAACGGAATTACGACGTTGGAAACCGGGAACTGCTGGCGGTCAAGCTTGCACTGGAAGAATGGCGGCACTGGCTGGATGGAGCTGAACTGCCGTTTGTGGTCTGGACTGACCACAAAAACTTGGCTTACATCCAAGCCACTAAGAGACTCAACTCACGCCAAGCCAGATGGGCCCTGTTTTTTAGTAGGTTTAACTTTATTCTTACATACAGACCGGGGTCAAGAAATGTTAAACCAGATGCTTTGTCCCGCCAGTTTGCTGACCCTTCGGAGACCAGCGAGCCTGAGGCAGTCCTGCCTTCCTCATGCGTCGTGGCGGCTGTTCAGTGGGAGATCGAGTCTCTTGTGAAGACTGCACTTGCCACGGACCCGGGACCGGGTGATGGACCTCCCAACCTACTCTTTGTTCCCGAGACGGTCCGGTCTCAGGTGTTGCAGTGGATTCACACCTCCCGTTTTGCTGGTCACCCTGGGATGAGACGCACGTTGACGCTGCTTAGGAGACATTTTTGGTGGCCTTCAATGGAAACTGACGTTCGGGCTTTTGTGGCAGCCTGTTCAACCTGTGCTCGGGGCAAAGCCTCCCATCAGTCCCCTTCGGGGCTGCTGCTACCCCTCCCAGTTCCCAGCCGTCCCTGGTCCCACATTGCCATGGATTTTGTCACCGGCCTACCCAAGTCTGAAGGTAATGATACTATACTTACCATTGTGGACAGATTCTCTAAATCTGTCCACTATATAGCATTACCAAAATTACCGTCTGCCAGTGAGACAGCGGACCTCCTAGTCCAACATGTATTCCGTCCCCATGGAATACCTGTGGACATCGTATCTGATAGAGGCCCACAGTTTACTTCCCGTGTTTGGAAGGGTTTCTGTTCTGCTTTGGGTGCTTCCGTTAGTCTGTCCTCAGGGTTTCATCCCCAGACCAACGGTCAAACAGAAAGAGCCAATCAAAACCTCGAAGCAACCCTTCGTTGTGTGGCTGCTCAACATCCATCATCCTGGGCCAAACATCTGCCCTGGATAGAGTACGCCCACAACTCCCTCACCGCCTCTGCCACCGGTCTTTCACCCTTCGAGGTTACCATGGGTTATCAACCCCCTCTGTTTTCCTGCTCAGGAGAAGGAATTGGCTGTTCCTTCGGTTCAGGAGAAACCTCCGCCGCTGCCAGAGAGTGTGGAGCGACGCTCGGGAAGCATTGCTTCGGACCACCGACAGGAACAAGACAACAGCGGATAGGAGCAGGACTCCCGCACCTGTGTTTCATCCTGGTCAAGAGGTTTGGCTGTCATCTAAGAACGTACCTCTTCGTACCAAATCACGCAAGCTGTCTCCTCGGTACCTGGGTCCGTTTGTGGTGGAGTCCATCATTAACCCCGCTGCGGTTCGTTTGAAGTTGCCTTCAGCCATGAAGATACACCCTACCTTCCACGTCTCCCAACTGAAACCTGTGTCCTCCAGCCTTTTGTGTCCGCCGGCTGATCCACCTCCACCTGTTCGCCTCATTGACGACCATCCGGCCTACACCGTCAGTAGGCTCCTGGACTCTCGGAGGCGGGGTAGGGGTCTCCAATACCTAGTCGATTGGGAAGGTTATGGACCAGAGGAGAGGTCTTGGGTCCCTAAGCGTTTTGTGTTGGATCCTCAGCTGATCACGGACTTCCATCACGACAACCCTGACAGGCCTGGTGGGTCGCCAGGTGGCGACCATTGAGGGGGGGGTACTGTTATGTGGGCAGCTTGTCTCTCCCTTTTCTGTTTCCCTTCCTCCTTGTTTTGTCCCCTCTTTTTCTGTTGTATCTGTATGTGTGTTTGTCCCCTTTATGTGGGTGTGTCTGGAGTGGAGCAGGGGGCGTGCTCAGGATCTGCCTCTCCTGTGCAGCTGCGGGTTGTTTCCAGTGATTCCTGCCTACGCAGCTGCATCCTATTCTCTCATCAACCTGCACTACTTATTCCTGGGCATGGCTCTCCACCGGCGCCAGATCGTTGTTCTTACCAGAGCGGTAACTTGGCTCACCAGTAAAGTTATTTTGTCTTTGTCTTCAGCCTGGCTCTCCACACTCCTTAACCTGTCGTTGTTTTGTCTTTAGTTTCGGACATACCTCCCAACCTGCCTGCCTTCCTGCCTGTCGGTCTGCCTGCCTGCCTGCCTGCCTGCCTGCCTCAGCCTCTCCTTCCTCCGGAGCCGACTAGCCCACTCTGTTCCTTTACTTCAGTTGTTTTTGGACTAAGACAATTTTAACTTTTATTAAATCTTTTTGTTTCTTCCACTCCCTTTGTCGTGTTTGTTTCTCTGAGTGCTGGGTTGAACCATAGCCTAACACTCCACAAATCTCTTGTTAACAAACTATAGTTTTGGCAAGTCGGTTAGGACATCTACTTTGTGCATGACACAAGTCATTTTTCCAACAATTGTTTACAGACAGATTATTTCACTTATAATTCATTGTATCACAATTCCAGTGGGTCAGAAGATTACATACACGAAGTTGACTGTGCCTTTAAACAGCTTGGAAAATTGCAGAAAATGATGTCATGGCTTTAGAAGCTTCTGATAGGCTAATTGACATCATTTGAGTCAATTGGAGGTGTACCTGTGGATGTATTTCAAGGCATACCTTCAAACTCAGTGCCTCTTTGCTTGACATCATGGGAAAATCAAAAGAAATCAGCCAAGACCTCAGAAAGAAAATTGTAGACCTACACAAGTCTGGTTCATCCTTGGGAGCAATTTCCAAATGCCTGAAGGTACCACGTTCATCTGTACAAATACGCAAGTATAAACACCATGGGACCACGCAGCCGTCATACCACTCAGGAAGGACACGCGTGCACCGGGGCCTCCCACTCCTCTTTCTATTCTGGTTAGAGCCAGTTTGCTGATTCTCCAGATACCGCTCAGGAAGGAGATGCGTTCTGTCTCCTAGAGATGAGCGTACTTTGGTGTGAAAAGTGCAAATCAATCCCAGAACAACAGCAAAGGACCTTGTGAAGATGCTGGAGGAAACAGGTACAAAAGTATCTATATCCACAGTAAAACGAGTCCTATATCGACATAACCTGAAAGGCCGCTCAGCAAGGAAGAAGCCACTGCTCCAAAACCGCCATAAAAAAAGCCAGACTACGGTTTGCAACTGCACATGGGGACAAAGATCGTACTTTTTGGAGAAATGTCCTCTGGTCTGATGAAACAAAAATAGAACTGTTTGGCCATAATGACCATTGTTATGTTTGGAGGAAAAAGGGGAAGGCTTGCAAGCCGAAGAACACCAAGCACGGGGGTGGCAGCATCAGGCTGTGGGGGTGCTTTGTTGCAGGAGGGACTGGTGCATTTCACAAAATAGATGGCATCATGAGGAAGGAAAATTATGTGGATATATTGAAGCAACATCTCAAGACATCAGTCAGGAAGTTAAAGCTTGGTCGCAAATGGGTCTTCCAAATGGACAATGACCCCAAGCATACTTCCAAAGTTGTGGCAAAATGGCTTAAGGAAAACAAAGTCAAGGTATTGGAGTGGCCATCACAAAGCCCTGACCTCATTCCTACAGAAAATGTGTGGTCAGAACTGAAAAAAACGTGTGCGAGCAAGGAGGCCTACAAACCTGACTCAGTTACACCAGCTCTGTCAGGAGGAATGGGCCAAAATTCACCCAACTTATTGTGGGAAGCTTGTGGAAGGCTACCCGAAACATTTGACCCAAGTTAAACAATTGAAAGGCAACGCTACCAAATACTAATTGAGTGTATGTAAACTTCTGACCCACTGGGAATGTGATGAAAGAAATAAAAGCTGAAATAAATAATTCTCTCTAATATTATTCTGACTTCACATTCTTAAAATAAAGTAGTGATCCTAACTGACCTAAGACAGTGAATTTCTACTAGGATTAAATGTCAGGAATTGTGAAAAACTTAGTTTAAATGTATTTGGCTAAGGTGTATGTAAACTTCCGACTTCAACTGTAGGCACGTACACACATAAGGATTCTCAGGTCAGCTCCCACTGAACCTTCTGGTGTGTGCTTTGGTCCAACTCGGCCTATCATAGCTTCATTTACATTTACATTTTACATTTTAGTCATTTAGCAGACGCTCTTATCCAGAGCGACTTACAGTTAGTGAGTGCATTCATTATTATTATTATTTTTTTCATACTGGCCCCCCGTGGGAATCGAACCCACAACCCTGGCGTTGCAAACGCCATGCTCTACCAACTGAGCTACATCCCTGCCGGCCATTCCCTCCCCTACCCTGGACGACGCTGGGCCAATTGTGCGCCGCCCCAGACACAGAAAGGAAATCTGGGAAATCTAAATGTTTTGTTTTCATGGGAGAAGCACCCTCACATCTTTCCTGGATTAACACATATCAACTGAGATAGACACTGACTGTGTGTGTGTGTCAAATCAAATCAAATGTTTTTGTCACATGCGCTGAATACAACAGGTGTAGACCTTACCGTGAAATGCTTACTTACAAGTCCTTAACCAACAATGCAGTTTAAAGAAAATCGAGTTAAGAAAATATTTACTAAATAAACTAAAGTATAAAATAAAAAAAGTAACACAATAAAATAACAATAATGAGGCTATATACGAGGGTAATTTGTACATGTAGGTAGGGGTAAAGTGACTATGCATAGAGAGACACTTTTATCCAAAGCGACTTACAGTTAGAGTGCATACATTTTCATTCATACATACATAGGGCAGATATATATATATATATACACATAGAGCAGGATATATATATATATATATATATATATATATATATATATATATATATATATATATATATATATATATACACACAGTGGGGAAAAAAAGTATTTAGTCAGCCACCAATTGTGCAAGTTCTCCCACTTAAAAAGATGAGAGAGGCCTGTAATTTTCATCATAGGTACACGTCAACTATGACAGACAAATTGAGGAAATAAAAATCCAGAAAATCACATTGTAGGATTTTTTATGAATTTATTTGCAAATTATGGTGGAAAATAAATATTTGGTCAATAACAAAAGTTTCTCAATACTTTGTTATATACCCTTTGTTGGCAATGACACAGGTCAAACGTTTTCTGTAAGTCTTCACAAGGTTTTCACACACTGTTGCTGGTATATTGGCCCATTCCTCCATGCAGATCTCCTCTAGAGCAGTGATGTTTTGGGGCTGTCGCTGGGCAACACAGACTTTCAACTCCCTCCAAAGATTTTCTATGGGGTTGAGATCTGGAGACTGGCTAGGGCACTCCAGGACCTTGAAATGCTTCTTACGAAGCCACTCCTTCGTTGCCCGGGCGGTGTGTTTGGGATCATTGTCATGCTGAAAGACCCAGCCACGTTTCATCTTCAATGCCCTTGCTGATGGAAGGAGGTTTTCACTCAAAATCTCACGATACATGGCCCCATTCATTCTTTCCTTTACACGGATCAGTCGTCCTGGTCCCTTTGCAGAAAAACAGCCCCAAAGCATGATGTTTCCACCCCCATGCTTCACAGTAGGTATGGTGTTCTTTGAATGCAACTCAGCATTCTTTGTCCTCCAAACACGACGAGTTGAGTTTTTACCAAAAAGTTCTATTTTGGTTTCATCTGACCATATGACATTCTCCCAATCCTCTTCTGGATCATCCAAATGCACTCTAGCAAACTTCAGACGGGCCTGGACATGTACTGGCTTAAGCAGGGGGACACGTCTGGCACTGCAGAATTTGAGTCCCTGGCGGCGTAGTGTGTTACTGATGGTAGGCTTTGTTACTTTGGTCCCAGCTCTCTGCAGGTCATTCACTAGGTCCCCCCGTGTGGTTCTGGGATTTTTGCTCACCGTTCTTGTGATCATTTTGACCCCATGGGTTGAGATCTTGCAGGGAGCCCCAGATTGAGGGAGATTATCAGTGGTCTTGTATGTTTTCCATTTCCTAATAATTGCTCCCACAGTTGATTTCTTCAAACCAAGCTGCTTACCTATTGCAGATTCAGTCTTCCCAGCCTGGTGCAGGTCTACAATTTTGTTTCTGGTGTCCTTTGACAGCTCTTTGGTCTTGGCCATAGTGGAGTTTGGAGTGTGACTGTTTGAGGTTGTGGACAGGTGTCTTTTATACTGATAACAAGTTCAAACAGGTGCCATTAATACAGGTAACGAGTGGAGGACAGAGGAGCCCCTTAAAGAAGAAGTTACAGGTCTGTGAGAGCAAGACATCTTGCTTGTTTGTAGGTGACCAAATACTTATTTTCCACCATAATTTGCAAATAAATTCATTACAAATCCTACAATGTGATTTTCTGGAGAAAAAAAATCTCAATTTGTCTGTCATAGTTGACGTGTACCTATGATGAAAATTACAGGCCTCTCTCATCTTTTTAAGTGGGAGAACTTGCACAATTGGTGGCTGACTAAATACTTTTTTTCCCCACTGTATGCTAAATGACTAAAATGTAAATGTAAATAATAAACAGCGAGTAGCAGCAGTGTAAAAATAAAGTGGGGGGGGGGGGGGGGGGGGGGGGGGGGTCAATGCAAATAGTCTGGGTGGCTATTTGATTAATTGTTCAGCAGTCTTATGGCTTGGGGTAGAAGCTGTTAAGGAGCCTTTTTGACCTAGACTTGGCGCTCCGGTACCACTTGCCGTGCAGTAGCAGAGAGAACAGTCTATGACTTGGGTGACTGGAGTCTTTAACAATTTTTTGGGCCTTCCTCTGACACCGCCTAATATATAGGTCCTGGATGACAGGAAGCTTGGCCCCAGTGATGTACTGGGCTGTACGCACTACCCTCCGTAGCGCCTTACGGTCGGATGCCGAGCAGTTGCCATACCAGGCGGTGATGCAACCGGTCAGGATGCTCTTGATGGTGCAGCTGTAGAATGTTTTGAGGATTTGGGGACCCATGCCAAATCTTTTCAGTCTCTTGAGGGGGAAAAGGCGTTGTCGTGCCCTCTTCACGACTTTCTTGGTGTGTTTGGACCATGATAGTTTGTTAGAGATGTGGACACCAAAAAACTTGAAACTTTTGACCCGCTCCACTACAGCCCCGTAGATGTGAATGGGGGCGTGTTTGGCCCTCCTTTTCCTGTAGTCCACGATCATCTCCTTTGTCTTGCTCACGTTGAGAGAGAGGTTGTTGTCCTGGCACCACACTGCTAGGTCTCTGACCTCCTCCCTATATGCTGTCTCATCGTTGTCGGTGATCAGGCCTACCACCGTTGTGTCGTCAGCAAACGTAATGATAGTGTTGGAGTCGTGCTTGGCCACGCAGTCGTGGGTGAACAGGGAGTACAGGAGGGGACTAAGCACACACGCCTGAGGGGACCCCGTGTTGAGGATCAGAGTGGCAGATGTGTTGTTGCCTACCCTTACCACCTGGGGGTGGCCCGTCAGGAAGTCCAGGATCCAGTTGCAGAGGGAGGTGTTTAGTCCCAGGGTCCTTAGCTTAGTGATGAGCTTTGTGGGCACTATGGTGTTGAACGCTGAGTTGTAGTCAATGAACAGCATTCTCACATAGGTGTTCCTTTTGTCCAGGTGGGAAAGGGCAGTGTGGAGTACGATTGAGATTGCAGCATCTGTGGATCTTTTGGGGCTGCACGTGAATTGGAGTGGGTCTAGGGTTTCTGGGATGATGGTGTTGATGTGAGCCATGACCAGCCTTTCAAAGCACTTCATGGCTACTGACGTGAGTGCTATGGGGCGGTAGTCATTTAGGCAGGTTACCTTCGCTTTCTTGGGCACAGGGACTATGGTGGTCTGCTTAAAACATGTAGGTATTACAGACTCGGTCAGGGAGAGGTTGAAAATGTCAGTGAAGACACTTGCCCGCGCATGCTCTGAGTACACATCCTGGTAATCCGTCTGGTCCTGCGGCCTTGTGAATGTTGACCTGTTTAAAGGTCTTGCTCACATCGGCTATGGAGAGCGTGATCACATAGTCGTCCGGAACAGCTTGTGCTCTCATGCATGCTTCAGTGTTGCTTGCCTTGAAGCGAGCATAAAAGGCATTTAGTCCGTCTGGTAGGCTCGCGTCATTGGGCAGCTCGAGGCTGGGTTTCCCTTTGTAGTCCGTAATAGTTTGCAAGCCCTGCCACATCCGACGAGCGTCAGAGCCGATGTAGTAGGATGCAATCTTAGTCCTGTATTGACGCTTTGCCTGTTTGATGGTTCGTCTGAGGGCATAGCGGGATTTCTTATAAGCGTCCGGATTAGTGTCCCGCACCTTGAAAGCGGCAGCTCTAGCCTGTGTGTGTGTGTCCCAAAGGAGCCAATATTGTTTAAATGAACTGTTTAAATGAGAACTTGCAGCCATAGTGAAGGGTATGTGAGAGACACTCTGTGTGTACAGTATGTGTGTGTAGGGAGGAGAAAATAGAAAATGAGTTCAAATAAGGGCATCTCGCTCTCCAATCTCAGAGCTACAGGGCGGGCTGCTACTCCCAGTCCCACACAAACTCAAGCCCACGTTCATGTCAATGGATACCAATGTTCTTTCAAAGACAGTCAGGGAGCGGTCTCTCCAAACAGTGTGTTGTTTATTAGTCAGACCTGATGTAATGAAGAGAGAGAAAAAGAGGGAGGAGGTGGAGGAGGGAGGGAAGGAAGCAGGCTGCTTTGTTTAAAAGGTCAGAATTCCAATGGTGCCCAGGAGACACACACACACGCACATGCTCACACACACACACACACACACACACACATGCTCACACACACACGCTCATGCTCACACACACACGCTCATGCTCACACACACACACACACACACACACACACACACACACACACACACACACACACACACACACACACACACACACACACACCACTGCTCTCCCCCTCAGATAGACACCTCACCGTTTTCTCCTATTCTTCTGTCCATCTTGTGTCTATCTTCCTCCCTCTCTCATCATACAGCCTAGTAGCCGTACATCCTACAGCAGGATCAACACTACAGTACCTCACTACATTCCAGAGCACACAGAACGTATTGGCACAAGATGTGAAATCAATGCAGAGGTTCCATCAAGCTATTCTACAGCTATCATCACACTGTCTGATGTAATATATGTACATATGGAGGCCATATTGTCAGGACCCTGGCGTGACATCAGACAAAAGGAAGGACTCAGAAGCCCTGTTCTGGCCCTGCTGGTAGGAAGTGACAGAAGTGACACTAAACTCCTGAGTGGCGCAGTGGTCTAAGGCACTGCATCGCAGTGCTAACTGTGCCACTAGAGATCCTGGTTCGAATCCAGGCTCTGTCGCAGCCGGCCGCGACCGGGAGACTCATGGGCGGCGCACAATTGGCCCAGGGTAGGGGAGGGAATGGCCGGCAGGGATGTAGCTCAGTTGATAGAGCATGGCGTTTGCAACGCCAGGGTTGTGGGTTCGTTTCCCATGGGGGGCCAGTATAAAAAAAATAAAAATGTATTCACTAACTGTAAGTCGCTCTGGATAAGAGTGTCTGCTAAATGACAAAAAATGTAAAAGCCTCAAGCATTTTCCCCCAGAGACAGGAAGACAGAAAGACTATTAAGGATGTGCTGAGCTGGTTGGTAAATACTTCATGATCAGTGTTGTGGAGTAGTTAAATACATGTAGTTCAAGTAGTAATTTAAATACATATTGAAGTAGTAGCTTGGTGGTAATTGAACTAAATTCAAATCTTGGTAGTATTTTCAGTAGTTTATTACTTTCTTTGCCATGTAGCGGTGTAGCTAACTACTGGAACTACACACTACTTTTTTAGCAAAATTGTTAATAAAATATGGGTGAAGTAGGCAAGAACTTCCTTTCTTGAAACATAGTTTTTGTGTTTAATTGGCTAAATTATACATTCTGTTAACAGCTGACTCTAGAGTGATCTGTTCTTGCAATTTGTAGCCTATGACATTTCAGATTTAGATATGATACTTTTTCACAAAGTAGTTTGGATGTAGTGAACTTCCTTTTCAAAGTAGCTTTAGTTAATTCAACTATATTTTTTGTTAAGGGTAGCTTTAGTGTAGCTTAACTTCTTTCAGTGTGAAGTAATTGGTAGCTTGGTCAACTATTTTTTCAGAGTAGCTACACAAACACTGTTCATGATACTAACTTAGTGAGTTTGTGTCACAGGAAAAGAGATAGGGAGGGAGAGACAGATGTATCATAACGTTGCACAGGGTTTTGAACTTCTGACCCTCCCGTGTTGTCTCTAGTGCTCATGTCTATAAAAGGACCAGGTTGTCATCACACATCTGAGAGACTGACAGAAGTCAGAGCTTCTGCTTTATTTACCTACTGGAGTATTAGTTCTGTCCCAAGGGTTGAAAGAAACTGTATGGTCTGTGCTAGAGTACCTGAGGCATCTAAGGATCGGACTTAACCTCCCTGAATAAGTCAAAGCCTCAAACTGTGTGACTCTCCTTCTAGTCTTGCTAATGATTAGCATTCCATACATTTTCATTGAGACTGGAGACTTCAAGTGTGACATATTTTCAGTGATTATACTTATAAAGCTAATAACATTACCCCCAATGGCCCCCAAAATATGAGTAACACCCATTCTCACTATTTATTCACAGGGGCACAACATAAAGCTCACATATATTTAGCCTGCCCTCATCTCCTAGATCCCTTCCTGTCACAGAGTTCTCATGCCTGTCAGCATATTTCACTTTGCATAACAAACTCCCCCCACACTAAAATAGCCCAGGGTCTCTGAGCCACTGTCTACTACCACACCATGGCACCATGCACTGTAGCACAAAACCAGCCAATAGTCTGTTCATGTCAAATAACACTATAGAGTTCAGATCATCAAACTGTTCCTAATCATCAAACTGTTCCTAATACCAGAATTGTTCCCAATCATCAAACTGTTCCTAACACCAGAATTAATCACATTCTTAACATTTCCAATAAGCATTTATCAATCAATCAAACGTATATATACAGAAACCCAGCCTAAAATCCCAAACAGCAAGCAATACAAACAAAGGTCAACCACAGTCAATTGTGATAACTCTAAACCCTTAATCAACTGAGTGGGTTTAATCCACAAAATAATGTATACTACTCAGAAGTTATACAGATATTTAATGCCAGCACTGGATCACACAGGTGATTTCAGAGATCCACACCAACGATCCACTAAATCCTGTTACACACACCTCCTCCCCAGTGTGTGTGTATCATGGTTCCCGGACTTACAAGCGTGCGTAGAAGTCACAGAACTCCTTATAGACTTTGACATCGCTGCGTCTCCTCTGAGACTTGGAGACGGGCAGCTCTGCCTCCCCACCATTGGCATAACGATGACCGTTGAACTCCACAGGGTGTGGTTCATGGTCCTGGGCCTCCCCATTCTCCGGGATGGTGGGGGGCAGTGGCCGACTCTGGACCTGAACCTCCATAGGACACGACTCTGTAGTCCAAATACTAGTTAGTACACGCTCCCAGTCCAAGACACCCTGCCCCGGCCCTATCCAAATACAGGCTCTTTCCCAAACACTCAGTCCTAGAACAATCCAATCCAAAAAGCAGGAGTAGTAGTCTAGAGAGAGAGATGGCCTGAGCAGCACTGAGACAGAGAAGAAGACTGACTTCACACAGATCCCTGATTTACCTCCCTCCCTCTCTCTCTCTTTTTATCTCCCTCGCTCACACTCTCTAGTTCCATTTCACCCACCCTCAACTCGCTCTCTCTCACACGCAGGTTGGCATTTATTGTCATTAATCTTGCCCTGGAGGTAGCTCTGCAGAGTGGTCACTTGCTGGCACAGCCACAAAGTCATAAAATCAGATTTTAAACCTAACCTTAACCACAATTCTAACCCTAATGCCTAACCCTAACCTTAAATTAAGACCAAAAAGGTCATTTTTGTTTTCATTATTTTTACAATATAGGCAATTTTGACTTTGCAACTGTCCCATCTAGCGGAAATCACTCAGATCTGCCTCCAGGGCAAGATTCATGACAATAAACGTCAACCTGCCTCTCACACACACGCGCTCTAGTCTCTCTCTCTCTCTCTCTCTCGCCCTACCTCTCCCTCTCTCTCTGTGTCACCCTTCCTCCCTCCCTCCCACTCTTTCTCCGTCAAGGGGTGTCTCTTTCAAACTAAGAGCCCACCCAGCCACCGGCCTAGAGCAGACAGAGGTCACTGTGCCACTGGACACACACACACACACACACACACTCACACACACACACACACCCACCAGTGGAGGCTGCTGAGGGGAGGACGGCTCATAATAATAGCTGGAATGGAGTAAATGGAGTGGTATCAACCTCATGGAAACCACATCTTTAATGTGTTTGATACCATTCCATTGACTCCATTCCAGCCATTATTATGAGCCGTCCTCCCCTCAGCAGCCTCCACTGACACACACACGCGCACACTTCTACATTATCACTTATAGAGATATGTTGTGATTTCTCACTTCCAGGAGAGAAACAGATGGTTTGGCTAATGTCATAGCTGTGTGTGTGTGTGTGTGTGTGTGTGTGTGTGTGTGTGTGTGTGTGTGTGTGTGTGTGTGTGTTTCTGCTCTCAGGGAGATCCACCACATGAATCCGAGTCAGAAACGCTACAGGCTGAGTTGAGCAACTCAGTGTTTGGCTCAAGGGAGATTAAGGAATGAAACATGAATTCTGCCATATGAAAACATTATGAACATATAAAAGTAATCTCATCCATATTCTGCCATTTCTAATCTACTGAATAAACAACATTTTCACAAATGTAAACTAAATTGATACACATGAGAATACCAATGTTCTATCACATCAGACAGTTGTTTATGTGGCTAAACTCATCACATCTTACCAGGGGCGCAACTTTCACTGGGGACGGGGGGTCCCCCCCCCCCCCAGATTCTGAAATGTCATTTTTGTTCCCCCCAGTTTTATCATTGGAATGTGATACAAAACAAGGCAACAGTGTGCTTTAGGACCATACGGACGTCTCTGAGTGGTCGGTTAGGCTGTTTGGAGTGTTTATCCGACTGGATAAAAAAAGTATATATATATATACAGTATATATTTTTAAAAGATTATAATGTCCCCCTCACTTCTAAAACCAAAGTTGCGCCCCTGCATCTTCCTGCTCTGACCTCCTTAAATAAATGACACTTCTACACCACCAAAAGGCCAGGAGCATAAATCTACAGGAGACGTTAAAATAACTCTGATTCAGTTCGAACATATTAAACCTCTGTAAGAAAAACTATTTGTCCGGATGAAAACCTCTTCTGTCCATTTACTTTAAAACAGCGCAGTGTCCCTGCTCCAAATCTCAATGCTGTGTGGCAGCCTGTGTGTCTCTCTAGCACGGAGTACAGTGGACATGTGTGTCTCTCCACAGAGTGTCTCAACCAGAGACTGTAAACCAGGAGTGCACAGGCATTCCTCTCTCTGCTATTCCAGGCTGTTTCCATCATTCTACAACTAGACGCCCAGGAAAGTCTCATCTCCAAACTAGGCGCTGCCAGCTGACGCCAGCCCCTGTGGGTGTGTGTGTGGGGGGGTGCAGCTTTACCCTCCTTCCTGTCCCTGGTGTGTGTCCTACTACTAGGTGCAAATTCACATACTCCCATTAAAAGTAAATAATAATAATAATATGCCATAAATGCATGCGTGCATAAAAAATGTTTTGTGTATGGGTGGTCCCGGGGATCGAACCCACTACCTTGGCGTTACAAGCGCCGTGCTCTACCAGCTGAGCTACAGAGGACCACTACTAGGAGAAAGAATGGCTCACAGGAAAACAAATCCCGAAAACAGACTGGGAAACACTGGTGTTAACTGACAGGACAATGGGATGGAAGGCGGGACCAAAACAGGAAACACACTGAGCTGCCTTCCTAATTACAGCATACTGATTATACTGATGAGAGGAGGAGGAGGAGGAGAGGAGGAGCATTTCCATGTGGTCATGTCTCTGTCCATGTGGTCATGTCTCTGTCCATGTGGTCATGTCTCTGTCCATGTGGTCATGTCTCTGTCGTTCAGGCCCTAGCCTATTCCTGACTACATTCCACAACAACAAGTGAAACTTATTTTTCTTTCTCACCCTTTGTCTGGGTTGGGACATGGCTCTGCAGGTCTCTAAAGAGATCTAACAATTTAACCTGCCAACCGACCAATTAACGAACTGGTCTGAATCCTAACCTGAGATCCATGCAAGTTACTTGAGTATTCACACAAATCTTCAATAGACACGAATGCATAATTTACGCAATTGTTGAGCTACATTATAATGGTCCCCTAGAGATGGACCCCTAGCCCCTGGCTATCCCCTAAGCACTTCATGCAGTTCTGAAAATATTGTATGTGCATTCCCAGCTTGTTAAATAACTTCACCCTTGGCTTTCTCTCCTGCAGGTCAAATCCAGGGTTACCTCCAACAACAGGCAGACAAAGAAGGCTCCAGTAAAAAGCAGTCAGGACAGGGCCAACTACAGAGAGAAACCCTGCCACCTGGGGGTCTGAAGTACAGAGAGAAACCCTGCCACCTGGGGGTCTGAAGTACAGAGAGAAACCCTGCCACCTGGGGGTCTGAAGTACAGAGAGAAACCCTGCCACCTGGGGGTCTGAAGTACAGAGAGAAACCCTGCCACATGGGGGTCTGAAGTACAGAGAGAAACCCTGCCACATGGGGGTCTGAAGTACAGAGAGAAACCCTGCCACATGGGGGTCTGAAGTACAGAGAGAAACCCTGCCACCTGGGGGTCTGAAGTACAGAGAGAAACCCTGCCACATGGGGGTCTGAAGTACAGAGAGAAACCCTGCCACATGGGGGTCTGAAGTACACATAGAGGTGACAGGAAACCTTCCGGGATGCAGGAGTGTTGCAGGAGTGCATGTTAAATGTGCAACCAGAGGGGAAAAAACTCTAGACCACCTTTACTCCACACACAGAGACGCATACAAAGCTCTCCCTCGCCCTCCATTTGGCAAATCTGACCATAACTCTATCCTCCTGATTCCTGCTTATAAGCAAAAACTGAAGCAGGAAGCACCAGTGATTCGGTTAATAAAAAAGTGGTCAGATGACGCAGATGCTAAGCTACAGGACTGTTTTGCTAGCACAGACTGGAACATGTTCCGGGATTCTTCAGACAGCATTGAGGAGTACACCACATCAGTCACTGGCTTCATCAATAAGTGCATCGATGATGTCGTCCCCACAGTGACCGTACGTACATACCCCAACCAGAAGCCATGGATTACAGGAAACATCCGCACTGAGCTAAAGGGTAGAGCTGCCGCTTTCAAGGAACGGGACTCTAACCCGGACGCTTATAAGAAATCCCGCTATGACCTCCGACGAACCATCAAACAGGCAAAGAGTCAATACAGGTCTAAGATTGAATCATACTACACTGGCTCTGACGCTCGTCGGATGTGGCAGGGCTTGAAAACTATTACAGACTACAAAGGGAAGCACAGCCGCGAGCTGCCCAGTGACACAAGCCTACCAGACGAGCTAAACCACTTCTATGCTCGCTTCGAGGCAAGCAACACTGAAGCATGCATGAGAGCACCAGCTGTTCCGGACGACTATGTGATCACGCTCTCCGTAGCCGATGTGAGTAAGACTTTTAAGCAGGTCAACATTCACAAGGCCGCAGGGCCAGACGGATTACCAGGACGTGTACTCCGAGCATGTGCTGACCAACTGGCAAGTGTCTTCACTGACATTTTCAACATGTCCCTGACTGAGTCTGTAATACCAACATGTTTCAAGCAGACCACCATAGTCCCCGTGCCCAAGAACTCTAAGATAACCTGCCTAAATGACTACCGACCTGTAGCACTGACGTCTGTAGCCATGAAGTGCTTTGAAAGACTGGTCATGGCTCACATCAACAGCATAATCCCAGAAACCCTAGACCCACTCCAATTTGCATACCGCCCCAACAGATCCACAGAGGATGCAGTCTCTATCGCACTCCACACTGCCCTTTCCCACCTGGACAAGAGGAACACCTACGTGAGAATGCTATTCATTGACTACAGCTCAGCATTCAACACCATAGTGCCCTCTAAGCTCATCACTAAGCTAAGGATCCTGGGACTAAACACCTCCCTCTGCAACTGGATCCTGGACTTTCTGACGGGCCGCCCCCAGGTGGTAAGGGTAGGTAACAACACATCTGCCACACTGATCCTCAACACGGGGGCCCCTCAGGGGTGCGTGCTCAGTCCCCTCCTGTACTCTCTGTTCACCCATGACTGCATGGCCAGGCACGACTCCAACACCATCATTAAGTTTGCCGACGACACAACAGTGGTAGGCCTGATCACCGACAACGATGAGACAGCCTATAGGGAGGAGGTCAGAGATCTGGCCGTGTGGTGCCAGGACAACAACCTCTCCCTCAACGTGACCAAGACAAAGGAGAT